GTGACTGTGACTGTAGTCATACTGAGAAGGTAGAGGGTGCAGTATAGTGAGAGATGTTGTCTGGCGCACGTCATTTAATAGTGCTATTAAGGACACTCCCTGTTGTGACTGTCCCAGTAATCCAGTCTGCTGTGTATTTGTAACTACAATGATTCATAAGGTGTCGGAATGAAATCGAGAAGTGGTTCCAAATAGAAACCATTTACAAATTGTCTGATTCCTGTGAAGCATTGAGGCTCCTGTTCCAAGAAGCAGGTTATAGTGAGTAAATCTCCAAAGCTTCCCAAATCTGGAACATGTTCAGATGTAAAAAGAGCTGCTCCAGGTTTTACTGGACTCTGTGAACCTGCTTTTTGGAAACAGGCTCTGCTCTACTCTGCTCTGCTCTGATCTACTATACTTGTATACGATACTGATTCCACCTGTTGATGTCTGCATTACACACAGTGACTTAAAGCTGGGACACAAAATCTCTGAGTTTGTGTTCAAATGAGTTTTAAATAGGGGAATCTTTATTTACATTTTTGTTATTTGCATTTGTGTGAAATTTCCTGTATATATGCAGTAGCTCAGTTTTTGCTCCATAAAAGGCAGTAAAACCAACATAATTCTATAGAACTTTACTCTAAACTTTTTTATCAGAAAAGGATTAATAAAGAATCAGATGACAATCCATTAATCAAATTAATAAAATGCTTTTTCATTTGGATAGGGAGATATTTAGTGAAGGGAGAGAATCAAAGGGCCACAGTGTCTCTGCCTTCATTAGCCCATATAACCCATAAGCCTGTATACTCCAAGAGATTACATAGGCAGCCTCTTTGTTTTATTTTCCAAACCCTCTAATATGTGGAACCAGGTCACCATTGGAATGCAAGTCATTTACTAACACTCATGCTGCCGAGTTTCTGTACAGACACCCCGAGCCCCCTGCAGAACCATCACCCCTGTTTTCCCTAGATGTTCGCTCCCCATAAAGAGTTGATCATTCGATAACCAGTTGCATTCGTGTCACACCAATTCTACAGTGTGTGTGTGTGTGTGTTTAAATATACTGTTTACACCCAAGACTTACTGTATGCAGCACATAATGACCAAACCTGTCAAATGTTTTCATGGCATGGCAAGATCATGAGAACAGTACTGTGATTTCTGTCCAGAAAATGCAACACACACCTTTTTTGATTTAGTGTAGTATAAGCTATAGAGGTGTTTTGTTTTTGTCACATAGCAGTTGTTCCTCTCAGAAACAGGTCTGTCTGTGTTCTGTCGGTCGTATATGTTGATCAACAGGTGTTTGCAGACAGACCACAGCTTTACTGTAATGAAAGAACAGCAGATTTAAAATCGAATCACACCTGAAAAACATTCCCAACAAGGGGGAACAATTTGTGGTATCGTTTTATTGTGATTAATACTTCATGAAACACTATATTTTGAACACTTGATGCCATATTAAGGTTTTCAGCAGCATGTTTTTGTGTCTACTAAGTGATTAGCTTCTCTGATTGCTGGCATCCGGTCACAGTTGTGTGATTCAGTAGACACTAAGTGATAGTTATGTGGGTGTTACCTGTTGCTGCAGACTGAGTGACAAAGGCAGATCCTGTTCCACATGCCGAGATTCTTATGTTACAGCTAACGTCATGGGCACCTGTGAGTGTGTGTTAGGCAAGGCACTTAATGTGTTTCCTTCATATTCAATCAAACGTAGAATATTTTGGAATAAATTCTCGATCACTAACAACTGAATGGCAGTGTTGCTGTACATTGTATTTGAAATGAATGAATTGTACTTTTAAGCATTTCAAGCCTCGTGTGTGTGTGTGTGTGTGTGTGTGTGTGTGTGTGTGTGTGTGTGTGTGTGTGTGTGTGTGTGTGTGTGTGTGTGTGTGTGTGTGTGTGTGTGTGTGTGTGTGTGTGTGTGTGTGTGTGTGTGTGTGTGTACGTACAATTGTGCAAACAAGTGTAAAATGCCTGTAGCCTCTTTCTATGAAACTTCACAGGACAAAGAAAAGTGGAATTCCATAGAAGTGGGTCAAAATCTGGTCATGCGGTTTCACAGGTTGGTTATGATGGAAATGACCCCGTATTTAAGCATGTGAAGTGGAGCACATGATGTTGGTGTGTGTGAGTAGAGGATCAAACATGCAAACATGGGAATAGGCCAATTGTTTCCAATTAAATTCTTAATTTAAGTCTTTTGTGTTCTGTCTCTCTTTGCATTGTGTTGACTTTTAAAACCCATTAGTGAACCTAGTTTCTCATCAGTGGGGGAATGCTTGAGAGCTGGATGTTGGCAGAGCAGCATCGGCGGATGCTGCAGGGCGACACGGTGCAAGCGGTGAGAAAAGCTCCTTTAGTCGAGCTTTATCTGACTCACGTGAAGAGAGAGAGGGGAGGGGAGAGAGATGGGAATGAGGTCAGGGTGGGAGGGAGACAAAAGGCAGGTGTCCCAAGGATCAGACAATTCACAACATACACTGCTCAAAAAAAATAAAGGGAACACTAAAATAACACATCCTAGATCTGAATGAATGAAATAATCTCATTAAATACTCCTTTCTTTACATAGTTGAATGAGTAACACCCAAAATCAAAGTGGAAAACCACACTACAGGCCGATCCAACTTTGATGTAATGTCCTTAAAACAAGTCAAAATGAGGCTCAGTAGTGTGTGTGGCCTCCACATGCCTGTATGACCTCCCTGCAACGCCTTGGCATGCTCCTGATGAGGTGGCAGATGGTCTCCTGAGGGATCTCCTCCCAGACCTGGACTAAAGCATCCGCCAACTCCTGGACAGTCTGTGATGGATGGAGCAAACCTTCTTGCCACAGCTCGCATTGATGTGCCATCCTGGATGAGCTGCACTACCTGAGCCACTTGTATTGGTTGTAGACTCCGTCTCATGCTACCACTAGAGTGAAAACACCGCCAGCATTTCAAAAGTGACCAAAACATCAGCCAGGAAGCATAGGAACTGAGAAGTGGTCTGTGGTCACCACCTGCAGAACCACTCCTTTATTTGGGGGTGTCTTGCTAATTACCTATAATTTCCACCTGTTTATTCCATTTGCACAACAGCATGTGAAATTGATTGTCAATCAGCGTTGCTTCCTAAGTGGACAGTTTGATTTCACAGGAGTGTGATTGACTTGGAGTTACATTGTGTTGTTTAAGTGTTCTCTTTATTTTTTTGAGCAGTGTATAATGTATTTGAAATGGTTGACTCAAAATGTAAAAACTTTGCAGTCAAGTTTTGCAAGGCTCTATATTTGATCTTAGCTTAATACTCTCATGAGAAGTAGGTATTTGTCATGGTAAGTGGTCCCACTTAGGAAATAAGTTTTCAAATGGACGTAACTGTGATTTAAGCAAAACTGTGATTCTGCAGCAGTCTGCCTGTGTGCGTGTAGCATACAAGTATTTGCAAGTGCGAGGGTAAGCAGAGTTAACGTCATTAGCCTCCGACAGCATCTGCTCGAGTAGCAAGGGTGACATCACCCTCATCCGTCAACACAACGCAGCACTTTCTGCATCAGATCTTTAATCAGTGTTCCTCGAAATATCTGGCTGATCCACTCTGAATATGTGACTCTAATTTATAGTGCAAAGTAAATGCTGCTGCTTTTCCTCCACAACATCTCGCAGTCATGCTTAAAGGATAATAATATATAGTTTTGTTATTGCCAATAAATCCATGAAAAGACCAAAACCAACATTGTAGTAGTCCATGTCATCATACTTAGTAACCTCAGAGCAGTCCCTGTTGGTAAGGAGCCAGGTTTTTAAGAGCTGCATATCATATAAAGTAATTTTTTCACCCACAGTCTAATTGTGTGGCATTCTACATGCTGTGCTGTGTACTTTGTACTTTGAACCATTTTTATTGGTTGAGAAAGACTTTAATCTGTGTATGGTTTGTTCTTTGATTATTTCGTTTCAAAACTGAATTGAAAAAAACAAGTCTTTTTTGTATGTTGTTGTTTTAAAACCAAAACGGAGAAACAGATGAACAGAAAACAAAAAAACATATTTTTGTCAGTACATCCTTTTGGGAACTATTTTCTGCGTATTTGTGTGTATTTACAGCAGAAGGATGGTGTATGTGGGATTCGACTTCAAATAAACCATGGTACCCGTATTCATGGTAATGAAGGAACATCTCAGCACGTCCCACAGTGCAGCTTATTAATATGGTTTTAATAGTTTTTGGATGACAATGGAGGTCTATGGCACAAGGGAATAAGCTGTATCAGGCTTTGGATACACAAACAATGCTTGTTAGTGTGATTTAATTCATTGTCACTTTTCGTTTTATTAGAGTATTTAAAGAGACAAATAGCAGATATATTTTTGTATCCAGCCCAACTCTGTGTGTTAGATATTGGACTACATGTATCATCACTCTCCAGTACTGTTATCTCTCCTCCCTCGGCCCCCTCTAACTGCCTTGTCTTTTAATATCTGTCCGATCCCTGAGAGCCTGTCTGTAGTTACTGTCACAGGCCATTGTGCCACACACAAAGAGCCTGAGTCCACTCCAGTTTTGGGTCCATTCATAAAACGCAGTGGTGCATGATAGGGGCTCTCCCTCCAGTCCCAGGCTCCCCCAGAGAGTGATGGCAGAGACAGTGATCAAAAGCTAGTCAGACAAGACAGAGAGTAAATGGGCGGACTGGGTGGGTGGGCAGGCAGGAGTATATTTGGATACAATGAATGGAGACACATGGGCTGTGAACATTTTCTGTTTGTTCTTTCCCTTTTTGTCGTCTTCAGAATAACCCTGTTGTGTCACTTTTTTTTTTTTTTGCCAGAACAAGCTTTGTGTTTAACCCAGTTTCATGGCTATTAATGTGCAGAAATTGATAAATTTTTGAGATGAAATTAATTGATTTGTCTTAAATGCTGTTTAATCAAAAATATTACAATAAATTTGAAGATGTTTTCAATTCAATTCAGACGGATCTAAATCTATCTCCTTTGCTGGCTTTCCAGAGATGACACTCTTGTCGTCCCAACCCAAACCCCTGGACTCCATCCCGATCCCGGACTCCACCCCTGCCGCCGGCATGGGCACAGAGGATCCCACGCTGAGGATGATGGAGAAAAGGTCAAAGGTGATCGAGGAGCTGCTGCAGACGGAGAAGGACTACATCAAAGACCTGGAGATGTGTGTCGAGGAGATCATCATGCCTCTGCAGAAGAAACAGGTAACGGGATGTAAATATTGTGCTGCTGAACTCGACCATGTCCGGGTGTCGAGAGAAGCACTTGGCAAATACAAGACAAACTTAAAGACAGCTTAAATAAATAGAAGGAACAAAGTAAGTATGTTTATGTCATAGCTTGGAGGCTGGGATATGATGTTTACATGGAACTTACTGTAGAGAAACCTGGTTATTCATCTCTCTGTATACAGTATACTGAGTATACATTTCTGACTGCCTGGACTCTGCTGCATTTACCCCTTTGCCGGATTTATTTTCTTTATCAAATAGGTAATTCAGTGTAGGACCGTGAGAGCACGGTGAAACTTTCACTTTTAATTCAGCTAACATGGGTAGTCATTTTACTTTTTCTTCTACTGACCAACTACTACTGAACTATTACTTGAATGGAGGCGGCACCTGTGAACAAAGCAGAGAGTGATCAGAAACCTAGATAAAGTGTTTATCTACAATAGTATTCCAGTTTGTCTCTGAGTACTCCAGCTAGCATAATCAGTTTTTTAGAGATATGGGCTTCCCTTATTTTCCAAATCAAAGACATTGTGTTTTATGTGTTACATAAGCAAAACATTACCAAGACACTCCAAAAAAAGCACTCACAAACAGGATACTAATGTTTTTAGCTCCATGTGTATCAGTCAACAGCGCAGAGGAACGTTTATCACTGTTTTAACACTTTCTATCTGCATTTCCTAAAGGTGAAGAATGTGGACTTTGATGGGCTCTTTGGCAACATTGGCTCTGTGATCGACCTGTCAAAGCGCCTGTTTGATACACTGCAGGAAACAGACTCTATAGGTAATATGCCACTTTTTAAAAGATACATACAGTATATCTTATAAAATTTCTCCCACACTTTGCCCACAGTCCAATCAGGCGGCTTCTTTCTACATGCTACTTGTACATGTACTTTATTCATGTCTCAACCATAAACTGTCACCTGATCAAATTTTATTGGCTGAGTAAGATTTTGAAAACATTTTGGAAAAAAAGCCAGCGTTACAGGAAGTAAACCGAAGGATAATAATGTGAAGTAATGTTTGAGATATTGTGTTCAGTAGAAAAAATAACCACAGAGATCATTGTCACAGGTTAAGTTGTATTGCCCTCAAACAGTTGAGATTTCTCTCTGCACCAACTTTCCCGACTTTCACCTGTTTCCCTTTTTTAAATGAGCATGTGACCTTACCTTTCTGTACCCTCTGCTCTCAGGAAAGGTATTTCTGGACTTCAAAGCTGAGCTGGAGGAGGTGTACAAGATCTACTGCCAGAACCACGATGATGCCATCTCTCTGCTGGAGAGCTACGAGAAAGACGAAAGCATCCAGCGCCACGTGTTGGAGTGTCTGGAGAGACTGAGGTGGGTCACTGACAGGACAAAAAAAACGGTCTGAAAAAGGGTCACTGTACAATTTTTAGTTTTGACCTGTGTGTTTGACCTTTTGCACGCAAGTTACCACAAACGTGCATGTTTGTGTGTTTTTAAAAGCATGAAAACAAAGCAAGAGTGGCCACCTCAATCAAATTTACACTTTAAAAGTAAAACATTAACTATAAAATGCTTTATTCATGTATTGTGTGTGTAGGAAGTGAAAAAGTAACTGTACTGATACAGCGTGTGTATTTTAAGTGGGTCTTTCAGTAGGATAATTTTAAAATGGAGTCATACCGTCATCAAGTAAATGTTTTGTCATGTTATGGAGTTCAAGACTACAGTAAAGTTTCCTATTAGCTGATATTCACATGGAATTAATTTATGACTGGGTTTCTCTTGCAGACTTTGAACTGTGATGCGTGGGCAAGTGATGATAGAGAAGCGCAGTCGCAGTAAATTTTTAAACAGAAGAAATACCTTTTCAGTCTGAGACATGTTTTCACTTAACAGAAAACTAAAGGCAGATTTTAAGCCACCTTTATCTCTCTCTTGCCGTGTGCACGCTCCATCTCATAGTGTTCTTGTAGCACTCAGTAATGTGGAGCATTCAAATAATGCACCCAATCTGGTTTTACCTGTCTAGTTTCACCATCAGTGACTCAGATACCTGCAGTGACTCTGTTGTTTCTGTATAATAAAGTCATCAATCTGTGTTTGAAGGTAAACACAGGTTTTGTAAGACCGAGAGCCTTAGAAGGGAAAAAAAGGGTGCTGCTTCCAAGAAGAAATGTTTAATGTACAGCTCAAACTATGCAAACTGCCAATACGTTATTGACTTGACGTTGTTTTCAGTTGCTTTTTTTCTGTTGACTTACAGTTTTTCAAGTCGTTTTATAAGTTACCCATAGCTAGCCTCATCAGGAAAACAACACTCTTAAGTGTGTGTGCGTGTCTGTTTCAATCTATTCATATTTAAAAAGGTCATGTGTTCTGCCACCTTCTAGAACCTGCCACGTTTTACTGCCGCACTGGGTCTCTGTCCAGCTTTATGAGAGAATTCACAAAACAAAACCATAACAACCGGGGGCGCATTTGGCTTGACTGTTGAATTGAGCTTCAAAGTTGAAGTGAAATGACTTTAGGATTTAGTCTACGCAAAGGCAAATACCTCCTTTTGAGTTCTGCAGAATTTAGAGTTGTGGGAAAATTGGACATGAAAGTCTGAAAGTATCAGAGGTTTATAAATCCTGTTTTTGTTATCTTTCTATCTCTTCCCAACCTTCCTTTCAACAGGGCCATATATCGCAAGTGGTAAGTCGTCATGATTTCCAGCATGAGAATCATGCCTTTTGGTCACTAACCCCCCCTGGAAATTACGTGTGCATGTTTGTGTGTGTGTTTACTCTGTGTGATGGCAAAAAAAGAATCCAAGTGTGTGCTGTGGAAAACTCTAAAAATTTTGCCACCTCATTGTCCTTCCCTGGACTGAGATGGACTTCATATTTTGGTGTTCGTGTTTGCATGTGCATGTGAATCCTGTACACTAATGTGAACAAAAAAATTCAACATGTTCTCCTTTTCTTCTCCTCCTCCTCTTCTGTGGATGGGCAGAGTAACACATTTGATGCCATCTTCTGGACAAAAACAGCAAATGCAATTTAGAATAACAGATGTAGTCAATATTGTATCTTTTCTCATTTTCATGAGAATGTTGTATCATGAAGATACAGAAGATATGTTTTTGATTCATCGCTTCTTACTTGCTGGTCAGGTGAAACTCTGGTAACCAGATATCCACCATAAACACCATTAAACATGTGAAATTACATGTGTTTTCCTCCACAAATGTCAATAGCAAGTAATAATATTATAATAAATATTGGCAATTGGCTTCCATGCAGACGACATATCATATTTTGGCAGTTAACAACCACAATGTGCAATTTAAATTGTTGCAGCTTAATTCATTTGTCCTCTAGATTGCATTACAACTAAGCAAATCATTTTTTTTTATTGTGCCTTTCCTGTTCTTTAATGTCTCCCAAAAACTGTATTGGTCATCATCAGAATATGTATGTATATGTGATGATGGATACATATCATTGGATCATACAATCCACATGATACAGAGACATGTGTTACATGAACATGGGAATAAACTTTTCTCATCATCGTAATTCGATAGCTGTGACTGTAATAGTGGGTGGACTGCTGACTGTGTGATTCTCTCACACTTCACATTCTCTCGTTTTTCCTTTTTGACCAAACCCTGTCTGCTGTCTGTGTCACTTTTTTCAGGGGGAAGACAAATTACATCAACCTCGGCTCTTTCTTAATCAAGCCGGTGCAGCGGGTCATGCGTTACCCACTGCTGCTGATGGAGCTGCTGGGGGCCACGCCGGAGAGCCACCACGACAGGCCCCAGCTGACCCAGGCTCTGCAGGCCGTCAAAGAGATCAACGGAAACATCAACGAATACAAGCGCAGGAAGGACCTTGGTAAAAGAACCTTTAAAGCCTGGTTGATTTTAGTCTTCTTTTGCTACTTTTGTCCAGTACACAGTCTGAACCGTTCTCTCTCTCTCTCTCGCTCTTTGCTGTTCACAGTGGTGAAGTACAGGAAAGGTGACGAGGAGACGTTCATTGACAAGATCTCTAAGCTGAGCATGCACTCCATTATCAAAAAATCCAACCGAGTCAGCAGCCACCTCAAGCACCTCACAGGAATCTCACCCCAGGTACAACACTGCTCCTAGCTCAGTTCTTAACCTAAGTGGAAGACTGCCTGAATGTTGTGAATAAAGACGTGTTTGCCGTTTCTGATTTCTCTTTCTCTCCTGTCATTTTTCTCAGATTAAAGACGAAGCATTTGATGAGGCTGAGAAGAGGTTCAGGCTACAGGAGAGACTCATCAAGTCTTTTGTCAGGGACATTTCCTTGTACCTGCAACACATAAGGGTAGGAACATTTGCCACAATAACATGATAAACTCCAATGACTCAGTGCCTTTGCGGTTTTCACCACATGAGAACCTGAAATTAAACATGCTTTCTTCGCCTGATTCATGCCATTTTTAATTGCAAATTAAGTGTTTCCAAAATTGTGATGTGTGTAAGTAATTAAGTTCTTAATCATATACTTATGACAGTATGTTTCATGGGCCATATTTTCATTGTCTGTAATAAAAATATACATTTAATAATTCTTAAATCTCTTCAGGAGTCGGCGTCTGTGAATGTCTTGGCAGCCATCAGTTTCTCTGACATCTACACAGAGCGCAGCATCCTCGACCCCGCTCGCTTCCAGAGAGCTCACCGCTGCATCAGTGACAAACAGTTCACCCAATTTGTAAGTCCTCTTCCTCTCTTGACCCTTACTCAGTTGATGTAAAAGTGCATTGGGAAAGATCTTTGACCCCGCTCCCTCATTCCCCGAGCAGAAGGAGCGCACGGAGGCCTTAGTCGTCAACCCTCTCACGCAGCTCCTCCTCATGTTTGCCGGGCCGCACAAACTCATCCAAAAGCGCTTTGACAAGCTGCTGGACTACGACAACTGCAAGGAGCGCGCCGACCGCCTGAAGGACCGCCGTGTCCAGGATGAGCTTCAGGCAGCACGCAACAACTATGAGGCGCTCAACGCCCAACTTCTGGACGAACTCCCCAAGTTCCACGGTGCGGCGGAGGAGCTGTTTACTGGCTGTGTGAGGGCTTTCTCTCAGGCTCAGAAAGACTTCATGAAGACGACGCTGGGAGAGCTGAAGCCCCTCCTACACGTTGTGAGTGTGTCTTTGTTTATGAGGGTGTTTTTCATAAATATTTATGGACAGTATACCTATTTTTTGCTTTTTCTTTACCTTTTATCTCCAGTTTTCTAACAAAGCTGGAACAGAGAGCAACCTGATTGCACAGTTCCAAGAAGAGTATGAGCGAGTTCTCCAACTTCTGCAGGGCTTTAGCTTCTGCCCGGAGAACCTGCCTCCAGTCACGTCCGCAAAAAAGCCCTTCGAGAAGAAGACTCTGGAGAAGCAGGCCCCTAAAAAGCAACTGCAGGCACCTGTGAGTTGAACTCTCATCTCATTTGTGCCATAGCATATTTTAATAAATGATGCACGAGGAGTTTCACCGCTGTAAGGTGATCTAACCATGAACCTTTTCCTTTTAGCCCAACTGCAACATGCAGACAGATGAGCACCGTGCAGGACTTCTGGTACTCTATGGTCCTGAGAAACTTTTCCAGGCAGAAAGAAACTTCAACGCAGCCCAGGATCTGGACGTTTCTATACAAGAGGGAGACCTTGTGGGTGTAATCAAGCAGCAGGACCCCATGGGTAGCAACAACCGCTGGCTAATTGATAATGGAGGTAAGTAATTTGGACTCCAAGACCTGTTTAACAGATCAGATACATATTTTGATCTCTTAGGAAAAATGGTGGAGCAATAATATATATTTCCATGTCTTCTCTTGCTTGTCTTAATTTGCAGTCGCCAAGGGTTTTGTGTACAGCTCCTTTCTCAAACCCTACAACCCACGCAGGAGCCAGTCAGACGTGTCCATCGAGAGCCAATCGTCCAATGAATCAGGCTACGGCGGCTCCTCCCCTGTTTTCTCCCGCCAAAACAGCAGCAGCACACTGACTTTTAACCAGGAAACGGCCACCGTCACTTTTTCCACTTCGCAGCCCCACAGTCATTCATCGCCACAACCGTCTCTGGACTCTGCCTCATCTCATAGGAGTCACCACAGAGATGCAGCCAACCCTGACTCTGCCTGTCAGAGCAACTCCATGAGCACCTCGCCCCGAAATCCCTCGAACCGCAGGGAATTCTCAGACCAAACACAACGAAATCCTCCCAGTCACAGAGACAAGGAGCCTTCTTACCGGCACAGAGACACGTATGATAAAAGTTATGCAAGTCACAGAAGCCAGAGGGAGATGTCAGACCTCTCGGAGACAGACTCTTATTCTTCACTCAGAGACAATCGCTCACAACGATATGGACACTCAGACAAAACCTACAGTTCATACCAGTGGAGAAATGGAGATAATTCTGGCCAGAAGAGGACTGCTTACTCCAGAGATGATTACATCGAGCCGGAGCCAGAACCAGAACCAGAACCAGAACACAACAGTGAATTAGATGGTCATCAGGTGAGATTTTGTTTGACTGTTTTTGTGTTTGTGTGTATAATCAGACATTACCAAACCAAAACAAGGGCAGACAATTTATTAAGTGATAAAGTAACAATTGTGTTGAACTTTAGTTTAACATTAAACACTTTTAAATTATTCTGATGGCATGAGTTGTTGTTTGTAGAAAAATGAAACAGTCCTGGGGAAATTTGGTGCATTGCTGTTTGCCACAGTGCTAGTGACACTACCACCAGGTGGTGCATTTAGCAGTTAAAGAGCCAGACATTTCCATCAGCTGGTGGAGACCAAAAGCAGAGCTAAAAGAAGAGTGAATGTTGGACATAAATGTGTTAGGTGTCCAGAAACAGGATTCCAATTAAGTGCTAATGTTATTCTGTGTCTGCTACCTGTGACAACTTTATAAGGTGATTTTATGTCTGTGTTAATTAATTCATGTTAATTAATATGAATTATTTTTAATGTTGTTTTTATATATTGAATATCGCAATATAATAATGGATTCTTTATTTTTTTATTTATTTGTTTTTAGATTTATTACGCGCTCTACTCCTTCGATGCCCGTTGTGCCAATGAACTGAGCATCTCAGCCAATGAGCGGCTGCGGATTCTGGAGTTCCAGGACATGAACGGCAACAGAGACTGGTGGCTGGGAGAGGCAGGAGGCCGGCGAGGCTACGTACCTTCCAACTACATCCGCAAATCAGAATATACATGAACAGGTTCGATGATGTGGACGATACCTGAGACTGATCTTCCACCCTAAGTCGGCTCACTCCGCAGAGTAGACGGAACAAGACAGGCATCTGGACACGCCGTGACTTATTTTTGAACTGTTGTCATGAAGTTTGATAGTGAGATGGACTGACTATTGCTGCGGACTCTGCTAAAAGTTAGCATTATATGCCTATATTTATAGATTTTTTATATTATTTTTACTTACTGGAAATTGCACCCTACCCTCTCTTGTTTCTAGTGAAAAACCTGTGAATTGCTCCAGAATTTTGCCATATTCTCTAGGACTGAAGACAATGAATTTAAGAGAACACATTGGGAGATTTCAATGGAAATGTGAATGTTTTGGGTTCAGACTGGTTCTTCTAAACAAACATCAAGTGGTATGCAGACAGACTGACCTAAGCACTGTGGTAATTGTTAATTACTTTTTTTTCTGCATGTGGTTTATCACATCACTAGAATGATGCATGAATATAGATGCATTTACACCATACTTTTCCAACAATAAAGGTTTGAGGCACTTATAATGATAATCCTCTGGTTGCAAGTTTTGAAGTGTCTGTGGAGCTGTCAACAAGAATCTGAAGTGTTGTATGAAAGAAATATGGACAATAGGAAGTATTATCAAGGGCAATTGGGACAGCTGAATGGCATATAATATGTGGTTTACAAGCACTCCCCTTGTCAGTAACCTGAATACATTTGTGAACTGGGTTGACACTGTGCGAATAGGTGACGACCCATTTTACCTGTAAGAGGAGGTTAACAAAAAGGGAGAGAGATTGGGGTCTGATCTTAACTCTGATTTCTCCACATACTGGCCATGTACATTATATATAGTGCTGTATATTAAAATATGCTATTGCTCCCACAGTAAAAAGTTTGAATAAAAAACAGCTCAGCTGACAAATCACAACAGTGCCTGGAAGATATTTTTGTTTGTTTTTTCTCCGTTGTAGAAGATCAGTGTTAGTACTGTGTCATAGTGTTACATATTATAGATTTTCGTGGTTATTTATGACAGGCTGCACAATGGTGTGATCTGTTGTCAGGATATGTCAGAAATTCTCATCGGTGCTTGAACACCACATAGACAAGACTTTGCAAATGAATCTACACTTTTAACAGTTTTAGCATACAACAACAATGATAAAAAGTTTCGGTGTTCAACTGTGATACATTGCAAATCTGCGCAAGATCATTTTAATGCATTGACATATGATAGAAAAAGAACAGCTCCCTGGAAGATGGAGACAACTACATACAATCTTAAAAACTAATGTAAAAATAGTAGTTAAATAGTTGATACAGTAATGTATGTGAATGCCAGAAAATATGTTTTATGAACTCTTCTACTGTATTTCATTTTCACTAAACTACTGTTTTTTTTTTCTTCAGAAAAATACATTTTATAAGATCAAGTCAGAGCTTCAGTTATAATATTCAGATGCTAATGCATTCAGAGATTTTGTTAAACGCATTATGATCCTTGGAGCATGATACTATCATAGAGTATAGCTTACATACAGTACTTGCTCCCTGCCCTCTTTTTCAGTTTTCAATTTAAAAGATGTGACTTTAGCGCCCCCTGGTGCTAGTAAGAAAAGGCTTTTAAAAATTAAAAATTACACACACTGTAGCTCTGATCCACAAAATTCGATTTGCAAGCATCATGTTACTAATTTGTTTAGCCAATCTTAATTGACTCATAAAAGTTCTATTACATTGAGACCTTTGCACTGGACATCTTCTATCCTACGTTCACAGCTTCTCCCTGCAGGCCAAATCCCCGCCAGAATGGAGGCTATTACATGTGAAGTTGGTAAATGTGTCCTGAATCAAAAACACACAATTATCTTGTGTAAATATTGCATATGTTAACTGTTGACATAACCATGTTTCTGTTTCTGTTCATAGTTGGATACAGTACACGTGAGGAACTCAAAAAAACTTTGTTCCTAATAAATAAATCTTTAAAAATGCTTTGCAGAAGAATTAGCCTAATAGGCTGTTAAAATACATCAATGAAATTAACTTTTGGGTGGCCAGGTTGTGAAATACAAAACAGGGCTCTGTCCATTGCTTCCCTGTCCCTCTGGAGCTCTCTCCCCAATCACCTCAGATATTTCACATCACTTACAAATTTCAAAACCGCATTCAAAACCCATTCGTTTTTATGCGGTTTTTCTTCACCTGTTTATAGTAATCTCTTATTGTTATCATGGATTTTCTTGGTATTGTCTTATTTCCTATGTTAAGTGCTTTTGATTACTTTTTAAAGAGCTGTGCAAATAAATTAAAAATATATGTTTATATGTAGTGGTATTGAGCTTTTAAATACTTTTTTTTATTAAAGTGTGTTTTAAAGGAACCTTGATGGAGACAATCAGCCCTGGTGCCACATCTGTGGAAGCATCCTCCTCTAGTCCTGCTGGGTACCCACTGCTGCACACTGCATGTAAGCTCTGGTACGTGTGTTGTTTTAGTACACAGAAGCAGTTTCAGCACAGTTTGATGTGGATTTGTACATGGACGCGCTCACCTAACCTTTATTTAACTCTCTTGGGGGACAGTTTGTCTGTCCAGTAAAATTGTAGTGGAAATTCAAGTGGGAGGAGTGTATGAGCCACTCCACCCACATCAAAGCCAGGCTCTGCCCAGTTCTCCCAGTGTGGGATATCCCAGCCTTTTCGCACTAGCAGGATTTTTGTGTGAAGCAAATCTTTCCCCGGTGCCTACCTCTGGCAGGTGTCCATGCAGACCACACCCAAAGGTTCACCTTAGAAGTTTCATCACTTTTGTGGTGGGATGCTCATCACATCCAACTGGGTCCTCACAATGGCCCACTGCATGTAGGGTTTGCATTTTGTTTGTATACAATTTCCCAGTTTATTCATTTTCTTCATTCTAATGTTGATTTCCAAGTGGCGTTGGCAGGAGTGAACATAAACAAACAGGAAGAGTTGGACCAGAGCATCCCAGTAATATAAGCAATTGTTCATGATAAGAACAGGGACACACCTGTTTCACTTAACAACTACATTGGATTGTCACATTTATTAAACAAACAAAACACATGTCATTTAACCTATATAGACCACAGACAATATTATAGTGATTTGGCAGCAGTCTAATTATTTCAGCTAGTGTGAAACATCTTTTCAAGCATCTATCACAAATTAGCTGATGTAATACAACACATGTACAGTGTGCACAATGCACAGTATATAGTAAAACTATATTACCAAACCTTCAATTAATTCTTATATTGGTTTTATTTAGTTTATTTCACCCAGAATGTCACATTATCCTTTCTGATAATGCATTAGGAATATAGTTTATGATATTATATTATAGAGATTTGGGTTATGGCCCTTACTGTGCCAAGGAAACTCGCTTTGTGAAGACAGTGTGTTTACCAGACCAGATGTTCCCAGCTGGAATGGGATGATCTGTGGATGGGAAGCCACTAAAAAACGTAATGAACTATTTATAAAAAGTCCTTTTAAATTATACAAACACATTGTTTTGAATAGATAATTGAGTACTGCATTTCCATAAATTTGTGGGACTAGTCAAAATTGATCCAGAAGATGTCCCAACGTTTAGTTCCAGCTTGGGTTAAGCTCCAAGAACATTGGATCCTATAGGATCCATTTCCCATAATGCAACTGGGTTCACAATGTTTTTTAACACATGTAATATGCATTAACCTTTTCCTAAGTGGCCCTTTACAGAAAATATTACAATCTTAACTTGCTCTTTCTTACTCTATAGGGCAACTCAGGTGTGTTAGTAAAATGGCACACACTATATCACCGGTGGGGTGGGGCGACGGCTGTGGTGTTAAAAACAAGCCTGTTGTCTATGCCACTGTCCACACATTCATCAGCTGGATCAAAAGCAAGATCAACTAACATTAGTCAACTGAATTACAGTAGTTCAGTAATTACTGTGGCGTTGAAACATGTTTTTCAAATTTTGGGATGAAAAACAGACAGCTTAGTTTGCCTTGAAAAAAACGGTTTATTTTATCTGCAATAAAACCAAGCATTTACTCCCAGCCCAGCTTTGAGTTAAAAGGGGCACCGATACAAACTTAGCAAGCTGAACCTGCCAGACAAAATGTAGATCACACATCATTTCAGTGGGCCTACACCTTCTCACTGAGCCTAGCTCAAAGTGCACTAGATGGCAGAACCCGTAAAAAAAACAACTGCATGTTTTGCATGACTGCAACAAGGCTTTGTCTGTGCTTTGTTCATTTGCAGCATGTGTTCTTCTCTAAAGATTAAAAAAACAAATGATGACAACAGAAATCCTTTGCAGTGCTGGCCATTTAGCAATCTCTGCACCACCTTCATATCGTTTAAACACACTTGAAATACAAACGTTCCATTTGATAGTTTAGTAATTTAGTAGAATTGTTTATGTTTTTGCTTGAACTGGTGTTGAACATGGTCCTTTAGAGGCAATTTAACCCTTTCACAAGGTTTAAAAATAAAAGTCAAAAGTACCATAGATTCAATCTGAAAGTAAAGCTTCTTTTGCTCACTACACACGATCCTTTAAACTAACTTGACAAGTCCTGTCCTGATTCAACATGCTTAATCCCCTTGGTAATCATCTTAACTACATTTTACAGTTCATTGTTGCACCTATAGTAGCTCTGTTAGACATTGGTGTGTCATCAGAGTCACAACAGTCATTTCATCAAAGTAGATACCACAAATACCACTGGTAAAGTAATCCACTCAGTAAAAGTTAATATCGCACTTTCTGAAAGTGGTCGTTTCTAACGTTCTCTAAACACTATCATCTATAAAAACGCCTCTGATCTATGCATCTTTTATCGCAGCAGCTTTACTAGACGTGGACGTCTTTACTGTGTTCTGGAGGGCAGCCGATGAGGAGGTGGTGCTGGACTTCTTCTCCATGGATTTGAAGGAGGTTGTGGTGGTGGTGGACCTTTTCTGGACAGTCTGGGAGGTCTTCTTCCTTTTGACATGAAGGACCTCCATGGCGTCCATGTTGACGCCTTGTTGAATCACCTCAGTGGTCTCCACATCCTCTGAAGTCTGCTGTTGCTGCTGCTGCTGCTGCTGCTCCATTTGCTGCTGGTGATGCAGCTGAAAGGAGCACGTGGGAAAAGTTATTATTTTTAAAAGACCCCGCCCAATATATTGTATATGAACTGTTTGTCCCATACACAAAAAGTTTGTCTGTAGGTAATGACTACACTTCATCTTCCACGTTCCCTCACCATCATCATGTGCTGATACTTTGCAATAGCCTCATCAGTGCTGACTCCCTCGGCTAGCCCCAGCTCTGCAGCCCGACGGGCGAGCTCGGCCTTGTGGGAGCCGGGAGGGGTCCAGCCCGCTCCTTTCATCCAGTTCAGGTCTGACTTGTAGTTCACCTGCAACAAAACGGAGCAACAATTGGAGTTGTGTATTGACACTGTAGGAATCAAATGTGGGCCTAAAAGACAAACACTAGGTGGTGTTATTGTCTCACCATATTCCAAATTAAAGTGATCAAAAAAACACTTTTCTTACATTTTCTTATACCTTTTTACATTTTAAATTAAATGGGCATTATACTGTCAAAACATTTCATGCAACTTTTGCAATGTATAGTAAATGTAAGCACTTCCACTGGTTTTACATGTGGGGGTGTCCACACACACATTCCTCCAACATATCATGCCCTGAGTCCCAAAAGCCGAGCAGTAATGCAATATTTCTACATTTGAATACTACCCTTCCCCAGGTTTGACATCCAGCAAACAAAAAAGTGCCTATTTGATATAGAGCAACCTTAGCATTCACCATGGAGTCGTATTTCTGTCCAATGTTCCCTTTCCTTTTAGCTCAAAGAAATATATAATTAATGAAATTACCATAAAGAAAAGCC